AAATCCTAAATCCTAAATCCCTAAACCCTAAACCCTAAATCCTAAACCCCAAACCCTAAACCCTAAACCCTAATCCCTAAACCCCTAAACCGTTTAGCCTTGCCAGGCCTGTCACGGAAGCTGGGACTTCCACTTCCAACAGGCGGAGAGAGTGGGTTTAGATTCAAATATTCAGCGGCTTACGATAATGGTATACTTCATCGGGTTGGTGAATAGGTCTGCCGAGATTGTTATACGGCTTCAGGGCTTCGTAGGATTACAGATGCTTTTTTCAGCGTGAAGCCGTCGCACACCGATATTCGGGCTACGGTTTTCAACGGCACAGAAAGCCTTTCAACACTCCCAAGACTTTAGAATCTGAAACCCCAAAGCTCTAGCGTCTTAACCCCCCAAGCTCAAATCTTAAACCCCACAGTTCTAGAATCTTAAATCCCAGAAAGGCGTTGAACACCTCCAACAAGAAGCCCGAAGCCAGAGTCCTCATAAACCTCCCAAAACTCAACCCTCAACCCTAAAACCCTAAGGCCCTAAACCCTAAAGCCCTACATAAGCCCAAAAGCCCAAACCCGAAAGCCCTAAACTCTAAGGCCCAAAAGCCCTAAAACCGTAAAGGCCAAAAGCCCTCAAGTCCTTAATCCCTAAACCCTAAACCTAAACCCTAAACCCTAAACCCTAAACCTTAAACCCTAAACCCTAAAGCCCGTTTAGCCTCTTGTTTAGGTGGGCTGGTGGACCTGCAGGGCCTCGTCTATGCCTGGGTCTTCAACAGCACAGGGGCCTATCGGTTGCCACCACCGGAGGCCAGAGGGTTTAGGGTTTAGGGTTTAGGGTTTAGGGTTTACGGTACACTTTCGGGTTTGCGGTGTAGGGCATATTGTTTGGGGTTAAACTCTACCCTCTACACCCCTACACTCTAAACCCCTGAAGCCGAACCCTAAACCCCTAAACCCAAAACCCCCAAACCCTACGCTCTAAGCCTTAAGTCTGGCAGAAGCTCATTTTAACAACCCTAAACCCTAAACCCCAAACCCCAAAAACCCTGAAAGCCCTAAACCCTAAACCCGAAACCCTAAACGCCCTAAACCTTGGGCTCTTGAGAGGAATTGCCGAGCTGCCGCTGCCTGGACCCTCATGGGGAAGCAACCGATGACATAGCGAGCTGCGCCTTGGCAAGATGGGTTTAGGGTTTCGGGTTTAGGGTTTTAGGGTTTAGGGTTTTAGGGTTTCGGGTTTAGGGTTTAGACCCCAGAGTCCAACAAAAACTTCAACAAAAAACAACAGCGGAACTCTACAACCGAAAGCCGTAAACCTTAGGCCCGAAACCCTGAACCCTAAACCCTAAACCGAAACCCCAAACTAGACCCTGAACCCTAAAACCAAAACTAAACCCTGAACCCTAAACCCCAAACCTCCAGCCCAGAACCTCTAGACCGGGGTATTTGTCCTTCAGCGTTCAATGGGTCTGGCGTGTTGGACTTTGAGGCTTGGACTTTTTGATTTTGGCGCAGCTTCGAATGCTGGACGTAGGGCTCCAAAAACACAGGTCCGTGAACAGAGGTTGTTCATACTTCACTACAATACACCCTAGTACAATGCAAAGAACGATCATGCAATGTACCATAGTCTTAGCAAGCCCTAAGCCCTAAACCCCTAA